TTAGATTCATTTATTCAACAATCACTTAGTGAGACTTTAGTGTGTCAGGCTCTGCTGTCCAATAGTGACTAGTGCTTTAATCCAAAGAGGTCAAGGGATGGAACTGCTTCATTCATTCATTTTTAACAGGGTCTCCTTATGTAGCCCAGGCTAGCCTCAAACTCTCCCTGCCTCAGCCTCCTGAGTGCTGAGCTAACAGGTGTGTACCACTCATGCCCAGAAGCTGCTGCTAGACATCACAGCAGGGAGGGAGGCAGATCCCTGAGGAGGCAAATGACAGGATGCCTCAACAGAGCTGAGGGCTTTGGGTACACCAGGCTGCAGTTCGAGCCCCACAGAGGCCTATCCTGACCAACTGAGCACTGATGTGACCTTTGAAAAAGCTCGCCTTCAATGCCAGTGAGACTCCTGAAATTACCTTGCCCCTGAGGGCATTAAATGGCCCTTCTGATGCAAGCCCAGTCCCCTAATTTTTTTTTGGTAGCATATCTGATATCTTATCCAATTCTTTCCTCCAGTTGAACAAAGTTAAAAGAAGAAAAATCAGGCAATTGTGCCCCACAATGAAGCTAAGTATTTAATTCCTTTTTAATGTTTACATTATTAACATCAGCATTACAAAATGATATTTTTACTTTCAAGCCATTTAAATGTGCAATTTGGTGTCTAGATTACTGGGATCATTATAACTTAAAAACTGAAGCAGAGCTCCCTTCCTTTTCTCTCCTCCCCTGCTAATGCCTGGTTTCTATAAAGAGCTACCAGGGCTCCACAAAGCCCAAATACCCATTCCAAACGGCTGGGGAGGGGCAGCCCCAGTGGGGGTTTTTACTGAGCCAGAGGAGGCTGCATTCAGTGTGGAGTGAGTGACAGCTAGCAGGTGGGTGTTGAAATGGTCATCAACTCCCAGAGGGGCTGGAACCACTGAGCCGCCTTCCAGGCAGCGCCCATTAATGTGCCCAGAATGGCGCTGGGTGATTGACAAGCTAGTAAGCCAAGACTCTGGCTCAAAATACCCATGATACTGGGAGAGGAAAGGGGCCTAAGCAAAACAAGAACAAGAGGACCCTAGGGCCCCTTGGAAAATGATAAATAAGAGCTGTTACAGTTTGCTGGCCCATTCTGCCTCCATATGGTAAATCTTATAATGGGGATATAGAGGAAGCATGGGTGTTTTACTGCCATGACATCATAAGGAGCCAGGGGCCTCAAATCCCAAATATCCACTCTCCTTCCTCGCCCCCCCCCCCCCACACCTAATGCTCCATCTTCTCTGTGTCTCTGTTTCCACTCCTGTCAAAAAGGGGAATGCAGTGCCATTTGAGCCAGCAGGAAACTAAATGAGTTCCTCTGCCTTGGCACAAGGTAAATACTGTTTTTAGTTTATTATTATAATTCATATTTTATTTTGTTGGTTGTGGGGCTTGAATTCAGGGCTTGGCCTGAGCCTTGTTCCTGAGCCTTTTTGTGCTGAAGGCTAGCACTCTACCACTTGAGCCATAGTGCCACTACCAGTTTTTGAATGGCTAATTGGAGATAAGAGTCTCACCGGGAGTTTTCTGCCCAGAACAGCTTCCTCAGATCTCAGCCTCCTTCATAGCTAGGATTACAAGCGGGAGCCACCAGCACCTGGCTATAATTCTCATTTTAAAATGAAGAAACCAGAGCTCAGAGGAACTAAAACACACAGAGGTCTATTTCTGTAAGGGCCTCTGTGTCCCTCTACCTGTCTTCCTTGCCCACCTTCATGTGGTACAGACCTTAGTGACTCAGGTCCAGATCAATCTCAAGATATGGGGCTTCACCCAGCCACATCTCTGTAGATACTTCACCTTGTCATGATCTCTCTCTGGACCTTATCATATCCAAAATTACTTTGTTCATTTAGTAAACAAGTTAACATGTTCAAGCATTGCTCTTAGTATTGTAGGTTTGCATAGTGGTTGTCTGTTTCCTCAATACATCCCTGTAAAATCCACACGTGAGAGGCCTTCATCAGCCTGGTTGTCCCACAACAATGTAAAGTCACCAGCACTCAGTCACACTTGGCTTAATTCTCTGCTGTCACTGTCTTCAAATTCTTTAATATTTGTGTGTGTGGGCGCGCATGCACGCACACGCACTGGTCTTAGGCCCTGAACTCAAGGCCTGGCCACTGTCCCTGAGCTATCGCTTGAACTACAACTATTTCTTTTCCTTTTCCTTTCTTTTTCTTTTTCTTTCTTTCTTTTTTTTTTTTTTTTGGTCAGTCGTGGGGCCTGAACTCTGGGCCTGGGCGCTGTCCCTCAGCTCTTCAGCTCAAGGCTAATGCTCTACCACTTGAGCCACAGCACCACTTTGGCTTTTTCTGCTTCTGTGGTGCTGAGGAATTGAACCCAGGGCCTCATGCATGCAAGGCCAGCACTCTACCACTGAGCCACCTTCTCAGCCCTCCTTTTCCTTCCTTCCTTCCTTCTTTCTTTCCTTCTTTCCTTCCTTCCTTCCCTCCCTCCCTCCCTTCTTCCTTCCTTCCTCTTCCTTCCTTCCTTCCTTCCTTTCTTCCTTCCTTCCTTCCTTCCTTCCTTTCTTTTCTTCTTTCTTCTTCCTCCTCCTCCTTCTTCTTTTGGTGGTTAATTAGAGATAACAAAACAGTCCCATGGATTTTCCTGCAGGGGCCTCCTGAGTAGCTAGGATCACAGGCATGAACCACCAGAGCCCAGCTTCTTCATTTTTGAACAAGAGACTTCATATTTTTATTTTGCACTGGAGTCCAAGAAATCATAAAGACAGTCCCAGAAGACTTACTGACTGACTGACTGACTGACTGAATGAATGAATGAATGAGCCCACATTTTATCCCAGGTCTGTCAGACTCCAAAGCCTCACTAGTGACCCTGTGCCAAACAAGCCTTCTGATGGAGGATGAGAGGTGGACAGGGCAGTAGTACACAAGGATAAAGCAACCACATCCAAGGGCCAGTTCATGAGGGAAGACTGACCTTAGAAGGATGTATTTCCCTGAGCTACCTTTGGTAGCCAGTCATTTTTCTCATCCCACTTAAACCCCAAGTGGAGGGAAAACCATCTGCTGCCATCTCATGTTACTCTTCCTGATGCCCAAAACAGAAGAACCTCACTCCCTACATCCCAGGAAAGCTGCTGGCCAGGTGCTCTTCCCAGCCACAGCTGTGGTGAGGATTCAGGCAGAGTTATATGGCCTTGGGGCTCCAGTACAGCCCTAGGTACCTGGTACTGGATCATAAATAGATAAATCCTTGTTCTTTGAGAATAGGGCAGCTATCATAACTTTCAGGCTTCAAGCCAGGTGCTGGTAGCTCACACCTACAATCCTAGGAGGCTGAGATTGGGAAGATCAGTATACCAGGCCAATATGGCAGAAAAGTCAAGACTCCATCTCTACCGAGGGAAGCTAGATATGGTGGTATGTGCCTCAATTCCTAATAACAGCAGGAAGCCCAGCACAGGCAGACCATGGCTTGGGTATGCAGCCAGACAGGAAAAGAGACTTTATTCAAAAAAATAAAATAAATAAATGAACAAACAAGGACTGGAGGTGAGGTTCAGTGGTAGAGCAAATATGAGGCCCTGAGTTCAAATCCCAGTACCCAGTACCACAAAACAAAGCTAACAAAAACCTTTGAGGCTATAAATACAGCTGGGATGAGGCTGTAGTTGGGCTGGAAACATGGTGGGTGATGAGAGAAGCTTTTGATCACCTCTTTTCCACTCCAAGAACTCAACTCGCCTCAGATGGACATCATTCACCCAGGGCCTGAGGTTCTCCTTCAACAGATCTTTGCTCTTAGCATCTTTGGAGAAGCTGTTCCCTGTTAAAATCCCTCCAAATTAAATTCCTCCCTCATCCTCTCTGGCCCCAGGCCTGCCTCTTGCAGCTGCCAAGATCTTCTTTCCTTCTTTTCCCTGAACAGCTAGAGTAATATTTCTTTCTCTGAATTCTACAGTGCTGTCTAATACACTCATATATGTATGAAGTACACCATTAGATGATTTTTACCTTGTCACTATCACAAAGGACTTATACAAACTAGGATGGCCATATCACCAGTGGATGATATAATCTCATGGGGCCACCATTTTATATGAAGTACTAAAATATTGTATCGTCTGACTATACTTCAAAGGCCACGTCCCCATTAACTCTGTGTTTTGGTTATGTGTACACTCCCAGATTCAAGACCTGGAAGGCGAGAACTTCCTAAATTCACCACACAAAGTCAGTGGGGCTAAAATAGGGAAGAGGTATGGTTCAGTACAGGGCTGAGAATGTGGAGAATGAGGCTTTCTAAGGAAAGTATAGATGGTGGGGCAATCCTTTGAAAACAAAAATCAGTCCACATTGGTGATATAGCTAGATATGTGGAAGAGAGGAGGAAGGAAGGAAGGGAGGGAGGAAGAAAGGGAGGAAGGGAGGGAGGGAAAAGAAAAGGAAGGAAAGAAGGAAGGAAGAAAAGAAAAAAACCAGTGCATTGCAGGAAAAAGTATCTGATGGGTGAGCCAAAGGACCCGAAGGGAAAGAAGCTGCCCTAAGGAGGCTGGAGGGGACAATAGCTGAAGAGGGCCAAAGCCAGAACCGCGACGGGCACAGGAGCAGTGGGGGGTGGGGGAGGAGAACGGTGAACAACCAGGATTCCGTGCAAACACACCTTTATCCAGTCACAACCTGCATTTATACGCAAATGTTTCATTTATGCAAAATAGGAGAGGTCTCTGAAGAGGGATTTTTTTTTTTCAGTTTGTGCAGACGTTGAAAAAGAAAAGCAAAGCTGTCCCTAAGGTACTCCACCTCTGCCTTGTCCCTGGAGGCTGGGCGAGACCCAGAAGCCTGAGGGGTGAACTCTCTGGTCTTGCTGAAAGGCAGGCCAGCAGCGCCACTCCTTGGAGCAGGACCGGCCGCGCCAGGAACTGCGCATGCCTAGTTGGAACGAGTCTTTTTTTTTTTTTGAGAGCCATACTGCGCACGCGCAACTCGCCGCGTCGATCACCTTTCCTCCGGGGGCGGGGCAAACGGGGCCCAAAATGGCGGCCAGCCGGTACCGGCGCTTCCTTAAGCTCTGTGAGGAGTGGCCCGTGGACGAGACCAAACAGGGCCGGGACTTGGGCACTTACCTGCGGCAGCGGGTAGCACAGGCCTTTCGGGAGGGAGAGAACACGCAGGTGACTGGAGGGGAGATGGTGGGGGGGAGGGGAGGAAAGGACGAGGCAGGGGCCGCGCCAAAGAACGGGCTGGAGGCCGCGCATGCGCGCCGGCCCGCCCAGGCAGCACGTGCGCGCGGACCCCGGCCGCCGCGAAAGCAGGCCGAGCGCGACGCCCCCGCCCCGGTTTTCTCACTTGGTTGCCCCCTTGGATTTGCCGAAGAAGCTCGTAAAAACTGCAGATGTTTTTACTAAATCAGAATAGCCGGGGGTGAGAACCTCTGCCTCAGTATTCTTAGATGCTCCGCAGGTGGTCCAGGGCACTTGCCAAGATTGAAACCCAGGCCCTGGCGCAGGTAGCTACAGAAAGGGGCTTGTTGCTCCCATAGCATGGTGCTGGTACCTTGTCGTGTAGCGTGTGTTGACCGAATTGATCCCAAGAACCTCTACAGGGCCCCAACTAAGCCTTTGCATCCTTCCCACCCCTCCCCTAGGGAGACAACAGGTAAGGTCCTGCCTGTATGGCTTTACATCCTAGTTCAAGACGTAGTAAGCAATAGGCATATGTAAAACAGCCCCCCAGAAAAGTACTGCAATTGATATAACATAGGCTTGCCTGATAAAAGGAAGCATTTATTTATATTGTTAATCTGGCTTTTCTGAGAAATAAACATATAGGTCTCTCTCTCTCTCTCTCTCTCACACACACACACACACACACACACACGCATGCACATGGTGAACCAAGAGGGCACTTGACCTTAGAGGCATTCCAGCTACTGCAGAGGAAATCAAACTGTCATTAGAGGACAGAAAGAAAGCCAGAATAATGGCAGGGTAGTAAGTGAGGTGGAATTTGCTGAGATTTGAGGCCTAAAGAGGGCAGGAACCAGGCACTGTTGGGTCTTAGTGGCTCTGCTTAGCAATTTGAACTTCTTATAAGGCTGGTGAGAACTCATTTTAGTCAAGAGACCAGTGTGACCTAGTTTTAAAAGGTCACTCTGGTTGTGTGTGTCAATGGATTATAAAGGCAAGAACAGGCTGGGGAGTTGGCTCCGTGGTAGAGCGTTTGCCTTGCATGCATGAGCCCTGGGTTCGATTCCTCAGCACCACATAAGCAGAAAAAAGCTGGAAGCGGTGCTGTGGCAAAAGTGGTAGAGTGCTTGCCTTGAGCTGAAGAGCTGAGGGACAGCGCCCAGGCCCAGAGTTCAGCCCCCATGACCGACAAATAAATAAATAAATAGAGGCAAGAACAAACAAGTAGACTGGGGAAAAGCCCACTGTACCCTAGGCAGAAGATGTTGGTGATTTGGGTGGACTTGGCAGTACCCAAGAACTGGATTCAGGTTGCAATGTTGCAAATCAAGGTAACAGGATATAGATATATTGGATGTGGGGTAAAGAAAGGAACTCAGGTTAGCACTAGATTTTTATTTTGGGCCTGAGAAACTAGGTGCCATATAGAGAGATAGGAAAGACTAGATAGGAACAGATGGGGTATAGGGTGAACATCCTAAATTTGGTGTTAGACACTTTAAACTTGAGTTGCCAAGTGGACTGACTTCCAAGTAGAAATGTCAAATAGACAGTTGGTTCTTTGGGCTTAGGCAAGAGGTCAGAGGTATGAAGTGATGTATAGCATGCACAGCAGGAACATGACATTTATTTCTTTGGATTTTTAGAATTTTGTTTGGGGTGGTTGTTGTTATTGTTGTTGTTTTGTTTTTTCATCTTAACTTAGCAGAGCAAGAGCATGCTCCAGTGACATTCTTGTGACCAGCCTGCTAATTGGATGGGGGTGTTTGTTATTGGAAATTCTGGCCCAGGATTTCCGGGAGTCAGGGTCACTCTATACTCATCTGATCTGTGGTGGTCTTCACTGGCCCACAGTATAAAGAACTTGAGTCAAGAATTACAACCAGTCCTAACTTTTCAAACCCCATCAACTCTAGAGCTGTGTTCCCTCTTTATTTTTAGGGGGTGCTTCTTGAGAATAGGGATAATGCCCCTCCATCAATACCTAAAGTATCACTTGCCACATTGAGCGGGGAACAAAGGGTAAATGTTGAATCAGTAGATAAGTAAGTGATTGTATTTATGGCTCATGAGTCAGGTCATTTGAGTACAGTTGCTGATATAGCAGATCTAGATGGAGAAATGTAATGAAGAGTGAGAAGGGAATATTTCTGTGTCTGATGTGGTGAGAAGTGATATGGAGCTTTCAGTGTTTTTGGAGCTGCAGTAACACAACCTGGTCCTCACCCCCAAGGAGCTTAGAGCGGGGCATCAGAGGCTAAATGTAGTCACCTTCTTGATTGTTTGTGTTAGCCAACATAAAGGATAGAGCTTTCCTTTGGGTGTTTTCATCTTTTGTCATCATCATCGAGAGAGAGTTCCTAGCTGGCCAAGGGGCTACATGGGCTTGAGTCATAGCTGTAGGTACAAGTCATGGCACCACCGATGGTTCTGTCACAGCTGATGGATGTGTTCTGGGGAGAGTGGACTGGATGGCAGCAGGCACATTACTCAGGACTACTGTCGTGGTACCTCATCCTGATGTCACCTGAAATTGAGCCTGGGCTTAGTAAATCTTGGTGATGGCTTTTGGAGGGAGCAGCCCCATTGCTGGAATAGAAAACAGCAGTGTGACTCACTCCCCCTGACACCCCTGAGTCATTTATAAAGACCTTGGGGAAGAAAGGTGGGTTCTAGTAGTGGTAGACTCTCTATTAAACTGGCAGCAGGAGGTGGGGGTGAGGCTCAGTGGGCTGATTAATATGCACCCTCCCCATCCCCTTGGTTATGCCACTTGCCAGAAGCAGGTTGCGAAGGGAAGCAGGTCTGATGAATTAGTCTCGTTGAGGAGAGGCAGGCAGACAGGGCTCCTCTGTGCCCCTGGGCTTCCTGTGTCCTCACAAGAACTGGCACAGGTACATAGCACACTTGGTGAACGATCTCATTTCATTTCATCCTCAATGTAGTCAAGAAAGTAGTCACCCATTTCTCAGATGAGGAAAACAAACAAGAGTAAAACAACTTGCTGGGGTTCCCCTGGCAGTAAGAGACAAAAAGAAAACAGACCCAGCCATCCTGGCCCAGATCTGACGTCTCCCCAGCCTTTCCTTGCATACCATTCCTCCTGAATTATTTCTTATTGGTCTCTTGTTCCATAGCAGCAGGCCATTCCCCCTGCTCTTAGATCTTTTTAGACATATTTCCATGTGTTTTCTTGTCTGTTTTTCTTTGCCCCATCCACTGCCTCCCATTGTAGATGGGAAGAAAAATGATCCTCAGTGGGACACCAGTGCAGAAAAACCAGGCTCCCTAGAAGGCAAATTAATAATGAAGACTCCAAACCAGGACACAAAAACTGCTGTTTCCATTTATCCCACTCAAATTGCCCTTTGGGGAGTCTTATGTCCCCCCACCCTTTAACCCACCAGGAGGGGAGTGATGGTGGGAAGCGGGAACACAGGTAACACCTCTTAACACCCTCTGTCCTATTGTGCAGTCTTTTAAGTTTATGTTTGTGGGTCTTGGCCTTCTTTGAGTAAGTCTCCTTAAAAGAACACATGTTCCCTGCAGCATTGGGAGCTTCATAAAAGAGTCACAACATGGGGGAAGGTGGCAAAACAACTGTGATTGTTGACTTAACTACAGGGGAAGGAGCAGATTCTTCTAATGAGCTCATTAGGCACATAAGCAGCTTCCTAAGCGGTGTTAACTGCACACCAGCCCCATTTATCCAACATGAGCCAACTCTGAGAAGGACCTAGAAATGCAACCCAGGGTGGGCCCACCTGCTTTCCTACCAGCCATATTACAATTATATCCAGGGTTAACTAATTGGCCTACTTTGAATTAAGTCACACTTTGTCTTGGGTGTCTAGCAATATAATTGCACTGCCACCTTCTCAGTGGTGGAGTCATCCAGTGGAGGCTGAGCTTTGGTTCCTTGATGTGGTAGGGACCTGCCTGGCACATGCTGGCCACAATGAAGCCATCTCAAATTTTGTGGTCCCCCAAATTTTGAGCCCCTGAAGTTTGATTTTTAAGGACTGACCTAAGAACACATTATGATATTTCTAATTACAGTTTGGGGCCCCCTCCAAAATACCTCTATCTTTTTTTTCTTGGAAAAAAAAAAGCCATTTGGGGTGAAATGAGAGAGAAAGTAATTCAGGAGCTGTATTGATCTGGACACATTTTAAGGTACAGGTACTGCTTCTCATGTGGTGAGTTACCGTCCTGTGGTCCAGTGTTTTACTAGGGCTTCCAGTCCAGGATCCAGCCTGTGTTTCCAGTCTTCTCTTACACCACCAGCATGACCCCACCCTCAGCACAGGGGCCTCGTTGCCTCCAAACCAGCCTAGGTGTTTCTTAACCTTTGAGACACCAGTGGTGCCACACATACCACAAACCCAAACAGAACTTGGCAAGAACATGGTGCTTCCCAGGCTGGTGAGGCTCTCCCTGGATTCTGCTTGCCTACCAGAAACATCTTTTCCTGAGCCTTCTCGTGCCAGTCACTTCCCTGAGTCCCATGCTCTGGTCCAGGGTTACAGGCTGTGGCTCCCTCATGCCTGCACACTGTCACTGTAGGAAGCACCATTCTTCCTGCCACATCTGCCCAGTCAGGCAGCCTGGCAACAGGACCCACCCCACCTCTGCAGCTCGAGCTACTGTGCCCCGCAGCCTGAGACATGGTTAATTTTCAGTGCGTGTGTATCCTCTCCACTTGACTACCAGCTTCTCCAGAGCCAGACTAGGTTTCCCTTATGCCGAACCCCCTAGCAGAGCACTCTCCATAGTAGGTGCTCAAGAAATAAGCAGTTGAGTTGAAAAGAGTATGCTTCATAACAGAATGAATTACTTCAGAATTTCATTACCAAGTCATGAAGACCTTTGTTACATAGATCTTCCTGGACCAGATCCAGCTCTACCTTAATTAGCAAAGCGGTTTGCAGCACCCTCTCCCACAAGTGCTTATGCATCCCTCTGTGTGACTCGCATAGGGGTCTTGTACCAATTGCTGTCACCACCCAAAATTCAATTTTGAAAATCGAAATCAGCGCCTGCGGCACTGATGTAGATTTGTATGTATAAAAGTTTAATATGGTAAAGAGAAATTTACTGACGACTGAGCAAGGGGAAATGCAAAAGGAGCAAAAATAGAGCTATAAAGGACACTTTGTCAGTTGAACATCTATTTTATTCACATTTAGGGAGCAGTGCTGAATTTTTCATAATGTCCCTACTGCTGCCTTTTTCAGACCCAGCACTGCTATTAGTCCCAAAATGTCTGTAATCTCATTAGGTGTGAATGTGAAATCAGGTAATTTAAAGCTTGCATGTAAGACTCTTCCTAAAAATGTATGTTTCATCAGAAAAACTATTTTTTTTAATCTGGAATCTATAAAATGTAAGATGTAGGTGTGTGGTGTGAGGCTCCAGAATTTGACACATATCTCTGTTGATAGCCTTCTAAGTAGTAAACAAGATTATTTGGGATTAGTACTGGGGTCTGAACTCAGAGCCTTATGCTTGCCAGGAAGGTACTTTTCCACTTGAGCCATCCCTCTAGCCTTTTTAGCTTTGGTTATTTTCCAGATAAGATCTTGATTTTTGCCTAGGATCCTTGTAAATGCTTCCTGAATAGCTGTAATGACTATCATAAGCCACCATGCCCAGCTTTTTATTGGTTGAGATGGGAGGGCCTCACAAACTTGTGCTTCAGTTGGTCCCTGCCTGGAGCCTCTCCCTTCCTCCCTGGTACCTGGGCTCATCATCTTTGGCTGGTCCTTTTCCAGCACTCATTCTTGGCTACCCCACAGACCCCTTGCATGGTCCTGTGGTACCCTGTGCATACCCTTTCCCACCACAATTCCAAGAGTTTCCCTGGACTGTCATGTCTCTCTTTTTGTTTGCCATTATGGCTTACTAATACTCAAAACAAGCTCTGATTCAATCTATCAGTGTTCCAGGCAAAATTCAAAGCCGTTCAGGCATTACCTCACTTCCTCACATGACCCTCAGAACTAGGGGCTATTATTATCTTTTCTTTCCACAGAAAGACTAAGTTGGTCATATGCCTTAAATTTGGCGATACATAAAAGGCAAAGACAGGCCAAGGGACTGAGGTGCATGACAGGGAAATGCAGCAGGTGGTCCTCTGTTCTGTAAGGGCTGTACTGGGCTGATGGCCACAATTGGAATGTGGACTGTAGACTGTGGATTAGATAAGAGTGTTATATCAGTGGTGCATGTTCTGAATACCATCGTTTAACTGTAGTCACAAGAGAATGTCCTTGTCCTCAGGAAACATGCTGAAATGCGGGGTGAGAGACCCTTATTTGCTTCCATTCAGAGGAATCAGAAGAAAAATAATTGTACTGTAGAGAATGGTAAAAGGGATGTGGAGATTTCTTTTAGGTATGGGAGGTCAGGTGATGGCTGATCCCAAAGCTGGTGAGCATTGGTGCCAGAATTCCCCTAGGCAGTTGCCCTCCACTCTCCCCAACTGAGGGTGGGGGGGAGCAGCTGAGGAGGGGCAAGTGTCTGTTGGTAACCACAAGCATCATCGGAGCAACCCATGCTCACATTCAGGCCATGTGTACTTCATGAGTTGTTGAGTTTCCACTAAATATTCTGCACAGGTATAAAGGGAGCAAATGGAAGATAAAGTGCATGCAGTTATCTTTTGATGACCCAAAATTCTTTCTTTAAGCTTTGTACCTGTGTTATTCTCTCCTTCTGTGGGATGTGCTTGTGTTATTCTGACTTCTATAGTGGCTTCTGGTTGTTGCCCTTGATTACATGTGTCAGATGTACTCCAAGGTGTGGCTGCCGACCTCCATCCCACTGGCCCTTCCTGGGAAGAGCCAGGGAGACACTAGCCCCACATTTATCTCCTCTGTATACTCAGATGATGCCTTTGATGACACCGCAGTATACTCTGGCCACTCCTCAGCCTGAAATTCTTCCTGTTCTCAGGTAGCTTTCTGGGCATTCTCCTCAGGAGCCTGCGCCCAGGGTGGACCATGCGGAATAAAATCCTGGGCTGTTGCTGAAAGTGGAGACCTCATTTAAATGACACACAAAGGCAGAAGCAGGGCTGCCTTATTAAAACATTTAACTCCTGATTTATCTATATAGTCTATCTTTAAGAAAGGATGTAAGTTAGAAAAATCCATCATTTGAATTCTGGGAAAATATGTAAGAGAAAGTTTGGTTCTAGAGAGCTTCCAGAATCTTGGTAGGAAAAAAATGTAAAGAACTACAAAGATTAAATAATAGCAAGGGCAGAGGAAGGGGAAGATTGAAAGGAGGTATGACTCAAGTGCCAGTGGCTTACACTTATATCCTAGCTATTTGGGGAGCTGAAAATGAGAGGCTGTCAGTTCAAAGCCAGCAGGGTCAAAATCTGTGGTAGCCCTTCTCAAATGGTAACTAGACTCGATTGGTATGTACTTGTCATTTTTAGTATGGTGAAGTAAGGAGGTCAGGTCTGGCCAGGTCTGTATTGGCCACATAGTGGTTGTAGGGTCTGGCATCTTATCTTCATGCTGGGAGAAGGAAATACTCTCACCTCCCAGGTGATAGGCATGCCCAGATCCCTGGAGGCAGGGGCGGGCACTTGGCTAATAGGTTACTGAATCTGTAAGTCCTGGGCTAGGAATGTGGCTCAGTGGTAGAGTGCTTGCTTGGCATGCACGAAGCCCTGGGTTCGATTCTTCAACACCACATAAATAGAAAAAGCCAGAAGTGGCGCTGTGGCTCAAGTGGTAGAGTGCTTGTCTTGAGGGACAGCGCCCAGGCCCAGAGTTCAAGCCCCACAACTGACCAAAAAGAAAAGAAAAGAAATTGAAACTGTCAGTCCAGTGCCTGGGACTGGGAATTTCCTGTGGACCTGCCCCCTGCACTGACGCTATTAGGCCCAGATCAGCACAGATGCCATTACCTCATGACTCATGTGTCTCCATGGTCATGTCCTGTATCCTGTCTCCTGGTTTGTCTTTGGCCATCATGGCATCCTGATTCAGCTCTCTATCAGAGCTGAATTGGTTTGTTGGTATTGTTTTTGTTCTTTCATTCCTCTCTGGTCTGTTTCTTAACTGTGATATGCTATAGGCCTTTGTTACAAGGGGCAGCCTGCAGACTGCTAGTGTTGTAATAAAGACTCCAATATTCCATCTTCCAAAAGGTGGCTTTGCTGATAAGTTACCTTACAACAATGAGAGCCTGAGATAGAGAAGATTGTGGTTCCAGGCCTGGGCAGAAAAGTGAAGAGACTCCTTGGAAGGATGCTGGGTGTGGTTGTGCACACCTATCATCCCAGCAACAATGGGAAGACTAAAATAGGTAGATTGTGGTCTAGGCCGGAAGGGCTTATAAAGTCTAGCTCAGCTGTAGAGTACCTGCCTGGCAAGTAGGAGGCCCTGAGTTTAAACCCCAATGCAAAAAAAAAAAAAAAAGAAAAAGTATGAAAACAGAAAAAAATCATTTTTCATAGACATAGTCTTCTCTGTAGAATTTTCAGTAGGGCACCCAAAGCACTGAATATTTTCTCCTCGCTGTCCACAAGTCCTCATTGTCCAGGCCTTCTTCCTAGTAGAACATGATTGGAGTTTCTTGGTCCTCTATTCACCTGCTTCACCAGAAACATCGCCTCTGCTTTGTTTCCTTCTTGTAGAGGTTCAGCAGCTCTCCACTTCCACAGATGAAAGTCCCAGTGCTTTGGAGGGAAGAGGACTTCCATAAAATCTTCAACACATTTCAGATTGAAGTTGACTTCAAAACACTTTTTATTTCTCAGCCCAGGTTCTCATGCCTGTGCACTGTTCACAGGCAGATCTGGCTGGTGTACCGTGTGCTTTGCCCCTCTCCTTCTTTCCCCACATGCCATACAATGGTCACTTGACCTCCTGAGGCTGTGCTCCCAGTTCCTGGAGCCCACACTGTTGTAGCTCTTTTCCACCTGGACCTGGCATGGTGACATCTTTGATTCTGGTTGGTGGAGTGTTCTGTAGGTTTGGATGTTGATGACTTTTTTTTGTTTTTGTTTGGTTGGTTGTAGGGTTTGAACTCAAAGCCTGGATACTGTCCCTGAGCTCTTTGTTCTCAAGGCTAGCACTCTACCACTTGAACTACAGCGCCACTTCCAGTTTTTGAGTTGGAGATAAGAGTCTCACAGTGACTTTTCTGCCCAGGCTGGCTTTGAACCGCAATCCCTATATCTCAGCCTCCTGAGTAGCTAGGATTACAGGCATGAGCCACCAAGCACCTGGCATGAGTTTTTATCTTATCAAAAAAAAAAAAAAAAAACCTGCTCACAGCAGGAACTGCAGGCTAGGTTTGCTTCCTACAGCGCAGAGCCACCAGTGCTTCCTGTGAATGCATTATTACATTCAGCCCTCCCTTCCTCAAGGTACAGAAGCATTGAGGCTGAATCCCCCTGCTCACTTCTCTGGGGATGCTTTGTCTTTCAGGTTGCAGAGCCTGAGGCCTGTGATCAGATGTATGAGAGCTTAGCACGACTCCATTCAAACTACTACAAACACAAGGTGAGTGGGCTACAGTCAGGAATCCCAGCCTCTAATGGGGAACCAATAAGAATGGCTGAAGATCTGATTATACAGTGTTTTGTAAAGAATTACGGTTTTGCTACTTTCAAATGTAACCAGCAATTTCAACCAAGCCAGCATTGATGGCTGGCAGAGGCTTGGAGTTCACCTAAATAAAAGCTATTTCAAATTATGAATAAAAGCCATGTATTTTATATGCTAGCATGTGCTCTTGAGAGTATCTGACAACCCTGGGTCTTATATGTATTTTACCATCCATTCTGACTGAACTGACAAATCACCAGAATGAGGACAGGGTGAAGGAAGTGCAGCACACAAAGCTGTGCTTTTCCTCAGCCCTGGCATGATTACTGTCAAATTCCACATAGTGTTGTTTTACTCAGACTTGAAAAATAGACATGGCCAAATACAAAATCCTGTATACAAAAGGGATTTCTTTTTAAGGCTTTGTATTCAAAGTATAGTTCCTGAGCAGCAGTGTGGGTAAAACCTGGTTTCTGGTTATCAATACCTGGTCTCCACCCACTTCAGAATCAGCCATTATTTCTCTGGGTATTTGTGCCTTAAAAGTGGGATCTGTCCTGGGTCTTGTGAGGCCTCGTCCTAACCTGTAGGTGGCGCTATCTTGTTAGTTCTCCTGGCTTAGGGATGCCCAGGGCCCCATGAACTTAGACAGAAGAAGACTGGTGTGCTCCAGAACTAATGTCTTCTCCTTTCTCTCCTGTTCCTGTGACAGTATCCTCGCCCCAGAGACACCAGCTTTAGTGGCCTGTCCGTGGAAGAATACAAGCTGATCCTGTCCTCAGGTATTGAAAGCATAGCTGCCCTGTGTGGTTGGTTTGCAAATAATGCTTTGAGTTTGAAAGGCCAAGGGAAATTGTCTAATAAGACAGTTCTGCATGATGGAAAGCCTTGTGCAATAACCCAGAGGAAGTTCTGAAGCTACAGGGTTTATGCTTTGGGGCCATAGAGTACAGAGAAGGTCAAAGGCATTATTTACAAAAGAAAAATCCATCTTTAGTACATTTAAATTCAAGACTGGGCAGCAGAGAACACGGGAATAGATATTTGCCAAATGGAAGTCATTGAAATGAGGACGGAAGGAAAATAATTTTATTTTTATGGTCCTAAGGGGGCTTTATAAACAATAAAGGTTTTCATTAAAACAAAAAAACTATTCAGTAAACAAGTATGGGGATATCCGCCTATGAGTTATCTGACCCAGGGGACATGGCCTGTGGGTTAGATAGGGGTCTAAGTAGGTATGTTTTGGAGTCATGGCTAGACCTTAGTTAACAGAATTCAAAAACCCCTGCCCAGGCAGCCCCTCCTTACTTCCCTCTCTCCATTGTCACTGAAAGTGCAGGGTGGCAGGAGGGCTGGGGTCCAAGTAGGCAGGTACTGGAAAATTACTATTTTTATTACAAAGGATATTATATACAAAAATAGGCTAACCTTTTCTAGGAGGGCATGGCCTTGACACATTTGCCATCTGGTCCTCTAGAAGTTTCTTTGCTCTCCTTTTGGCAGCCTTCGGTAACTATGTTTTGGGGATTTGACCTTGTAGAAAACTCTTATTCTTCTGAGCAGATTTCAATGTATGGTATCACCCACTGTTGTCAGGAAATGTGGGGTAAAGATACTCTGGCAAGGCAGAATCACTTTGTGGGTCCTTTTTCCCCTTAATGTATAGATTTATTCCAGTGTGGGTTAGTCCATGTGATTATCAGCATTACTGTACAGTGACATCGTGAGGGGCCCAAAGAGTTGGAGCAGAATTTAGGTTTGGGATGAGAAAGCAGATGAGTTCGCAGGCCCTGTCTCTGCCCCTTTGGTTAAAGCCTCTGTGAGCCAGGACAGCAGGCAGCAAGGAAGCCTGGGGGGGCATGCCCCACCAGTGGCCCGTGCTGTAGCTTGTTCTGGCTGGGAGTTCAGCCCCAGAAAGTTTGCTGATCATTTGTTTGCACAGCAGGTCTCATATTTTTGTTGCAACTGTTAGGAGTGAGTAAGCTTACCAACTTACCTCTGAAGGAAGGAAAAGACCCACAGCACCATGTAGCAAGAGGCTCAAGGGTCAGGAAAATGAGTGTGGATGTGGCAGGGATCCTCAGTGTGGGACACGTGGACATCACATTTTGTGCCCCATTGGGAGAGCCTGGACTTCGGGAAACGTCTCATGGAAGGACAATGTGCTTATGTCTGAAGTAGTGCATGTCCCAATCTAGTAAGCGCTCTGACCATAAATAATTACCTCATTTGTTCAGAAAAGCTATTCTTTTTCTCCGGAAATTTTGTTAACAGATGGAAATTCAGGCTTTGAAAGCTAAACATTATCATGAGACTTACCTAAATTTAAAATACAGGTAAAATTAGACATCCTGGAGCCAGGTGTAATGGGCATACCTATAATCCCAGCACTTGGAAGGTGAAAGCAGGAGTATTATGAGTTCAAGGCCAGACTAAACTACTTAAAAGACCCTATCTCAAAAAACAAAGCAAACAAAAAAACATAGGCTGGGAAGTAGTTCCCTGCTAGAGCTTGGCCTAGCATGCACAAGGCTCTGGGTTCCATCCCCAGTACCAAAAAGAAAATGGATACTGGTGGCTTATTTCTGTCAACCTAGCTACTCAGGAAGACTGAAGTTCAAAGCCAGCCCAGGCAGAAAAATCTGAGACTCCATCTCCAAAATAATCAACAAAACACCAGATGGGAAGCATGACTCAGTTTTAGAGCACCAGCCTAACACACAAGCCAAGCAAATATAAGCCAGTTCAAATCCCAATACCAGCAAAACCATAAAAACAGAGATCATAGAACTTTATTCCTGGAAACTGAGGCCAGTGGTGTTTTGCTGGGGAGCATTCTGTCCCCCATGGATATGTGGCCGTGTCTGGAACACAGTTTTAGCCATCACAACTGGTAGGACTGAGGTACTACTGGCATATACAGTAGAGGCCTGGATGCTGCTAAAATCTTTCAGTGACAGGACAAAAAAGTACCTGGTCCCAGATGTCAGTGACATGAGCAGAGAAGCCCTGCTTTGGCTCATGGGTGTCCACAGCCATGACCATGGCTGCCTTGTCATTGAGTGCCAGGCATGTTTCCTCACAACTGTGGGAGGTTGGTGTTTTTGTGTTTGTTTTACAGATGAGGAACCCATGGCTCAGTGGTTGTGATTTGCTTGAGGGGTCTTGGAAGGGATATTGAGTAGATCCAGGCCTAAGTCTCCCTCCCCAATGCTTGCCCAGCCCCATACTTATAGTAAATCTATACTGCCAGGACGTGGCTTCCAGCTCCAGTATTTCCCACTGTGCAACCTGAGCAGCTTGCTTGTCCTCCCTCACCTCAGCTCCACCTCAGACAAAAAGTCTGTGTGGGGTGGGCCAAGTTGAGCAATTAAGTCAGGGGTCATTTCTTTGCCCTGTCCTATGGAGCAGGGCAACAAGAAATGTGCCCACTTGGATGCTGCAGGGAGGAGGGCAGGTGACCACTGCTTGCCTATCCCCTGTCACTGCCAGCATTGCCTCCATTACTCCAGTGATCTGCTTTTCAGAAGCTGGGTGCAACTTGAAGTTTCTGGGCACAGTATAAAAAGCGAGGCATGGGGCTGGGAAGGTGGCTCAGTGGTAGAGCGCTTGCCTTGCATGCATGAGGCCCTGGGTTCGATTCCTCAGCACCACATAAGCAGGAAAAAAAAGCCGGAAGTGGCGCTGTGGCTCAAGTGTAGAGCACTAGCCTTGAGCTGAAGAGCTGAGGGACAGCGCCCTGGCCCTGAGTTCAGGCCCCATGATCGGACCCCCCCAAAAAAAGCGAGGCACATTTGTGTTGGAAAAGCCTTATGGGCCACTGAAATCCAATCACGTGTTAGACCTCAGTCTGTCTGTTTCTGTTTCCCTATGCAGACACCTTGGCAGAGATAAAGGACATGAATAAAGCCACGTGGAAGAAGCTGCAGGACAAGTTTGCCCCTAAGGGGTCTGAGGAGAAGCATAAAGCCTGGGCTCGGGTTTTATCTCGTCCACATACCTAAGTGGACTCTTGTAGGTTGCTTTCATCAATAAAACCACTGGCTTTCCCCACCCACAGTCCAAGACTCACTCTTTCGTCCTCCCAGGAGGAAGCCTTGCCGCTCTACAGAGCTTGGCTTGAGCCGGAATGCCTGAGCATCCACCAGGACCAGCAGGCCAACTGGGGAATCTCCCACCAGAAGAAATTGGGGGTTCTCTCTGGACCAAGAAGAGGCCAGCAGGGCCCCTTGCTCAATGTGCTTCCTGCACGGTGTCAGGAAACCCTGTGAGATTCCCAGGCTCCCTGTTGTTCCCAGAGCAGTGGGAGGAAGCTGGAAGCAGTACTGAATGTCAGAGAGGGCATCCTGTTGCCACAGTGCAGCAGCAGTAGGGGAGGCCCTTTGCCCCTGACTCAGGGCAGAGCTCAAGCTTTTCCCCAGCTGTGTCAAACCCTGTGTGTCCCATTAGCAGGGACAGCACTCTAACCAGGACAGCACTTGAGGGACTGCACTCTAACCAGACCTGGGCCAGGTGGGGGCTCAGGTGGCATTGGCAGATTCTTTGGAAGGCCACATAACAGTGACCCTGCTGGCTGACATCCACATTCCTCACATTCCACATGGAATGTCCTCTCAGCAAGCACAGCCAGGGAAGGGGTAGGGCAGGACCAACAGCACCCTCCCTGCAGCGGCAGAGTTGGGTCCTAGAGCCTCGGGAAGTTTTGAAACAGAACACACAGGATGACAATGGAGCCTACTACGCTGAAACAGTTCTGTGCTGGGAGTCCAGTTAAGAATCATGGCAGGGTAGGGGTCACTCAGCCTCTCTCTCGAGAGCCCACAAGAGGTCGGGCTACTGCTCTGTCCTCTACCAGGTGATGCCAGCCCCCAGGGAGGGTAGCAAACACAGGCCCGCTTAATAGACTAGTTGATAGATTTCTATTAATTTATTTAAGGCAATTAACGTATTAGTTTTGGGGACACACGATTTGCAAAACATTATACCACAAGGAGAAAAACAAGCAGTCAAAAAAACTTAACAAAAATCAGTCACTCCCAGCTCAGTCCCTGTCCCCTGGGCAGGCATAGGACTCCTCCAGGAGTCCTGGGGAGGTGGGTCCCGGAGCAGGGCCGTCCATCCATGAGTCAGTAGGCCTGGACAGAGCAGTGAGGTCTGCATACTGTCTGCAGCAGGCAGAGGCCCAGGGAGCTGTGCAGCCATGGCAGGGCTGCACATCCCCCCCTGGAATAAGTTAAAGCCCTAACTGCTAGTAACAGCATTATTGCCACCTCCCCCAGAGGCAGGCAGCAACCAAAATGTAGTGCTTGGGAGATAAAGAGGTGACTCCACCCCTAGTTAACTACCTTGCTACACAGGAATGTCAGTTATTGCTTGGAGAAACAGGGGTCTCCAGGACCTATCATCATCTAAGGCAATTGTGGTAAACTGAGTCCTAGTGGAGTCTCTCCTTTAGGACTCTAGGCAGGACTGTCAGCTCTGAGGCGCCCCTTCCTGGTCAAAGCCTGGGCTGGGGAGAGAAAGGCTGGGTGGGCACCTAGCCTGGAGAGGCAGGTGAGCTTGTTGGGCCACTGGCCTGAGGAAGCGGACAGCGTTGTTGCCAGTTGCAGTCTTCAGTGACAAAGAGCCCCTGTTGAGGCTTCGGTGACTGCCCTCAGCGGCTCATGCAGTTCTGGACGTCCACAAAGCCCAGCCGTTGCCTGCGCTTTCGCTGTTCCGTCATCTAAATTAAATGCACCTGGTCAGGTCACCTTGCGCCCTCCACGATACCATGGCACATCAACCCCCTGACCTCCAAGGCCTTCCTAGTCATGCAGTCACTGCCAGGTGCAGAGGAGGGCGCTCTAGCAAGAGAGGGCACAGGATGCCTCCATGCCTACCTTCAGTGAACCCCTGGATGGCCTGCCTGGCAATCACGAGGAAAGGGGACACATCAGGGGTCAGCAGCAGAGCCTGCCCACCCTGCTTATCTGTCCAGACAGCAGTGTGTTTGACCTGAGGACCTTGCACCTCCCTTCCTACCCAGGTGGCAGCTGAGTCCGCTTGTGGGACCCCAAGGTCGGGCTGGGCCAGGTCAGGGCACACACCTGCTCTTTGAGCTCATTGAGCTGGGCCGTGAGGTGAGACACCAGCTTCATGGTGGAGCTGAGCTTGTCCTGGAGGATCCGGATCTCGTTCTGCTCGCCCTCACCCTCGTTGCTCACCAGCGACATGGCCCGCATCCGAGGGAACCAGTCCAGGTTCTTGTTCTGAAAGAGAGACCAGTAGTGGAGTGAGCAGACGTGGCAAGGCCTGGCACGGGGAGGCCATACATAGGAAACTAAAGAGGCCTCAGCCACACCCTTGACCAAATGACTTGCTAGGAATGTGTCATAGGAAAGTCTGAATTGGTCTGGGGAGGACCCAGCCAGCAGTGACCCTCTGCCACCATGACAGGCTGTCTTCTCTGGTCTGCTGAGTCTGAGTCCTTCTCTGCTAACAGCATCATCTGTTTATTTTGACATCACTGGGTGTGGAGAAGGCCTTTGCCCCCAGACCCAGCCTCCTTCCTTCCTCCCCCCGCTCCCTGACACACATACCCCATACCACACTTCCGGAAGATGGGAATCGGAGAGATGGCGACCTGAGGGAGCAGGCAGCTCTACTGAGGAGAGCTGGCACCTGTCATACGTCTGAGGGGGAAGAACCACATTTCTCCAGACAGGTGGAGTGAGCGGGAGGGGACACTACCAAGCAATTTTCTGGTTCTTTGTTCCAAGCTGTGAATTCTCAGACCAATGGATAAACCTCTTCAAAGAGCAGCTCAAAATATAGATGTAAAGGACAAACGTTTCCTTACTGCCTTTGTAACTATTCAAGTTGGACAGATTATATTTAATTCCTCTAAGTCTGATTTTTTAAGTACTGGGGTTTTTAATTCAGGACCAAGTATCACTCGAGCCTCATACTCAATCCTTTAGCTTTTAGTGGGTTTGAGATAGGATCTTACATTTTTACCCCAGCTGGCCACAGACCATAATCTTCACCTCCTATGTAGCTGGGATTATAGGCACATGCCACCTTGCCCAGTCCTAATAAACCTGACATTTTTGAGTCTTCCAGGCTCCTTCACAGCCTAGGACCACCCAGATATTAGGAAGCTGTCCTAAATCGCTCTTGCTGAACTAGTAAAGGCCTCTCAGAGTGACCACAGAGCAGTACCCCTGAGCATGGACTAGGTCTCCTCTTTACAGTTCCCAGGACTGGACCTTGGTTCTAGACTAACGGCCTTTGGGGCTGATGGGATTGCCATGGATTCACTCTGTTCCTAACGCCACTCAGAGGCAGTGGACAGGTAGCAGGGCTCTGTGCAGCGAAGGGCTGGCACCAGCCTCTCCTCTCTCCCTGCTGGCTTTCCTACAAGTGTCTGTAGCTGTGTTCCTCCAGGCTTTTCAGGATGGTACAGGCAGATGTGGCCACCAGGGGACACGGGACACCATGGCCGAGGACCTATGGTGCACAGCAGCTTGGACTTGAGCCCACCTGGCTTGGCCCTCACCTTGATCATCTGGGCCACGTAGCTCTCAGGGCCTGTGTAATCAGTCTTGTTCTTCACACGCACCAGCACAATGAAGTAGAGGTAATTCCACATGTTGTGCTCCAGCTTGATGTGCTCCTCAAAGGACACTGTCTTGTTGTCAAACTTGTCCCTCTCCAGGCCTAAGTGGTGAGAACAAGAAAGAAGCTATGGCTTCCAGCAGCCTCTGGTAGAGGGGACATTTGTTATGGTGACTGCTTCTGACAGCCCACTCGGGGCTATATAGGTCACTCTATTTAAAGCACCAGCCACTCAAGCCAGGTAGCTCCTGCCCTGCCTGCTGCAGCTAGGGATTCTGAGATCAAATGCAAAAATACCCAAGCCCAAGGAAAAAGGATGAGCTAGACAAGGGATGTGTCCTGCAGGTGACTCCCACTCCTCAGCCTCAGGTGGCTGGTGGGGGCACTACTGGGTAGGAAGAACACTGGAAAGAAAACAGAAGCTCCAGACCACAGACAGACACAGGTTCCTCATCTGTAGCCCAAGAGGGTTTGAAGTATTGGTTTCTGAGGGCTCTGCTCTTCCCTCTGTCTCTCCAAGGGCATGCAAGGTCATGCCCTCCTTTGTTAGGGTATGAGCCAGCAGCCAGCAGCAGACCATCTACCTTGGGGTGGGCTGGTGGCCAGCTCCCCAGGGGTGGGGCTGCTCTGGCCTCAGAAGATGCTCATCTGTGCACGGGCCTCACCACAAATGAAGCAGGTGGTCTTGAGAATCTCCTCCTTCTTCTGCTTCTCGCTGCGCAGGTCAGCGAAGGTGTCAATGATCACCCCGAAGATGAGGTTCAGCACAATGATGATGACAATGAAGAAGAACAGGAGGTCGTACACCACTCGGGCCGGAAAGAGGGACTCCTGCAGGGTGAGACCGCAAAGCTAGCCTGGCCAGACAGGACAGGACTCACGCTGGGGTCGGGGCTATGGTCACTAGTGTAGGCCCCAGAAGAAGGAAATGAGGGCCTGGGCTTCAGGGACCATGAACCTGGCTCCACAGAGCAAGCACTGCAATCAGAGGCCCTGAGTAGAGATTTGGAAAGGGCGAGTTCAAACAAGGTACCTGGAGGCAACCTGTAGGAGTTCAGATATGGTGTGGACAAGTGGGGCCTACAAGTCAGGGTTTGTTTCTGCCCCAAACTTTTGTTTAGAAAAAGAGCCAGCTCTGAGTTCTTTGCTCCCCCTCTCAGGACTCTTAGCCTCACACATTCCAGAAACCTCTGTCTGGCCAGGGTGGAGGCTTCCCACTCACTCACAAGCTACTGGAGAGTGGACTGACACTGGGGACTCTGGAGGCTCCTTCCGCAGGCAGCAGACTCAGCTTCCTGTCCTGCCCTGCCCTGTCCTGCCTCCCTCTGCCGCCTGACTCACACCTTCCCCAGCCCCAGGGCACAGTGTGGGTGCAAACTTTCTTTCCTTGAGTTGGAGGGGGTGGAGTGGGAAGGAGGGGGAGGACAGCTGGAGAAGGTGGCACCGGAAGCTGGCTG